TATGGCTAGGCGTGTGGCAGCGCGGACGGCCCCGTTCCTATGCACATTTGAGTGGAGAAAGTGGCACGCTACTGCAGCTGCGGACCCACTCATCCCATAGACATCATGCACGTGGATCTACTAGGGTCAGTGTACGGTTTCTCTTCAAGCCCCATGATCATCAATTGCGCACTGTACGAAGATTTCAGCCTAGAATAAGGTTTTATGTTGCTGTAGGGACGCGAGCATCACGCTTTTACTGCATCAGCCGATCATAGCTGATGCATTCGTGCAACAGAAAGTTCTCGTGCCTTCAGGATAATTTTTTCATCCCAAAACTGAGCTCCACATTGTTTTCTGATTTTTGTTTTACGCCTGCTTTGAAGTAAGAGTGCGGCACTGCCATGCAGGAAATTCCCCTCAACTCGACCCCACCCGAGAACCTGAAAGAAGGTACAGCACGCTCGAAATGAAAAAAAACCAACAGTAAAATCTCCCAGACTAAATACCACTTGCACCACCTCAGTGACCATGTGCGACCCTCTCTTGCGTTGTGGATCCCACAGCAATGATAGGCCCTGAGTTATGTGACTGTTGCCATTCCGATTTTCCTGTGTTTCAAATTTCTGAAGGCTCAATCTCTTGTATGGATCATGCCGTAGCAGGTCAACAAGGGGACCGCCTTGGGTTATCTTTGGTGGTGGCTTTTCTCTCCCAGATATTCCTTCCCTGCAACTTTTCCTCCGGAATGGTGTCCCACACCACGGTGTGACCTCCTACAATCAAGAAAAATGTCATGATTTCCAATTGAACCCCTATTTTCGTTAGCAATGTTTGGTTATCTAGTTAAGCGAAGCAATAACTCAAAGTTGTGAGGCTTGAAGGTTGAACGTTTTGGGTCTATTAATTGTCGAAGGACCTAATGATCAGTGCTACGGGGCATAGGCCCTGATGTGCTTACGCTATCAGGTCCAGCAATCATGAGTGACTTGGAGCTGCGCCTTTGGAGAGCTGAAAACAGTTTCTTCAAATAAGCGAAGTAAGATAAAAGTGATCTCTAGGCTTCAAATAGCTTGCTGATCTCTAGGCTTCAAATAGCGTTCCTCCAAAAGGGGGAAGACCGAGAAATTGCCGGTAAGTGGGAACTGTGACTTTACCCACAGCCGACATCACCCTAAAGATTAAAGATGGATCATAGACTATCTCATGGCCCTTAGTGACATATAAATATCCCCGCCGTTCATCCAATCAAGCTATACATTAGTGTATTTCCATTGTTACCGGTCAAGATGCGCGATTTCCGCTGAATATCTGGCGCGACTCCATGTGAGACGAGACGGTCGTCGCGCGACGAATCTCACTAATGCCGGTATTGTCTTGGTAAGGAATACGGTCTCAAGAGAAAAGTTCATATGGATGGCCATTATTTCAGCGCGTGCCAGACGGGTTTAATGTTGTTATTGGTAAGGGGAATGTGATATGGTTAGAAGCTAAAGGTCACGAGAGCCTCTCACGCAGAACGAGTGGTTCGTAGCTTGCTCCCACGCTTGATGTAGGCTGGGGTCAACCGAGAGTGGCGAAGTCACGTTCCGAGAAAAAAGCCATTACTACGGCCAATTTCTAAGAAAAACATGATTGCCTTGACGTTGCAATGTAGCCAAGGCTCTTATGCCACTGGAACATTTCCCACGCGATGTGGATCGAGGGATGTTCTAGTTTTATCTTCGAGGTTTCTTTAGGAACGTATGTACTCTGAAATTGGCGCTTTTCTCGCAGGTCGCTGAACCAAGGCGAATCCAAATGGATCGGATCTAACTAACAAGAGGGGTCATGCCACAGCGTTTGGTCTCTTTCGCTTTGGCCCTATTTTGGTGTGGAACAAGGCAGGCTCAGGTGCTCAACCAAACAAGAACCGTTTTGTAACTACCCGTTCATGCGTTCGTATTTGTCTCGAGTTCGTTGACCGAATGTACGCGTAGGTGGCTAAGTTTACAATTGAAAACGCAGCACCAACCGATGGCCCGACTAAGTCAGTGGTAGAAAAGATATCAGCACACTGTTAGAATCTCACTTGAAATGACTAGTCACCCGTCAGAGCCGATCACTAAATGATAGGTTACATTTATAGCCGGCGATGTAGTTACATGGCTGCATCATCCTGTTACATTCATTGTTCAGACAATCGTAAGTGGCTTACTGAATGAGATGTAGCTTATACCACGTGGAGTTGCCGGCGGGCCACGCGAAGTTGAGTGTTGTACAGTGTTATTGATCGCTCACACAGGCAACACTTCAGTATCGTCTCATCAGATTCTGCGGCCGCACGTAGCAGGCACTAGCCTGGCCTAAAAAGCTCGATCGCGGGATCTGACTCGTGTCGACATGTGCCGATATAAGGTGTGCGGCACATATATATGCACTTCCGGCGCTCTAAATGTCCTCCTCAGAGAGAAGCCCTAATAAATGGAATCTGTGCACGCCAGCAGACCGGCCGCTTTTGACCAATAGCCAGGAAGATGCAAAGGACGAGAGTGAATGCATTTGATAGGACTTTCAACCAGCCGCGGTGGTGTCAGTTCGACCCTTCCTCTGAAAAGGCCCAGTACGACCCGCTTTTCACGATCTCCAACGACACTACCTTCAAACAAAGTTGGCTATCTGCAATCCAAATTCTTCATTTTTTCCTTAAAAGCAGGTGCTTCCTATAATAATTGTTTACTAAAGGTGGTGTACTTGCAAGTGCACGCTTACCGCTCGCGCGTTCAGGGGATCAAATACCGGGATCGGTACCCGCCTAGGCCAACCAAGGCCTTCTACCCTCCGGGGACGGTAAATTGGTACCAAATTCGTCTGGGAGGATAAAACACTGACTTGTACATCGGCTGGCCCCCGCAAGTCATTGTAGGCCACATCGCATTCAATAAGCCACTACGATTCTGAATGGAAGTAGAATGCGTGCCGCATCCCACAAAGGGATTGATCAACGGCGAAGACTTTATCCTTTATCCTTTTATTTGATTGTGCGTACCGTGGGTGTTTCTCTCGGACCCCGACAAAATCCGATCCCTGCTTGCAGTCAAGGCTTTTGTAGGCACGCTATGTGCAGCCATACGTCGTGGTTGGTGATGGTGAGCGCTAGGCTGACTGGGCTGAGTCAGACGCTGGCTGCGAATCGTCCCAGAGCTGAGTCACGGCACGTGCCGAGACGAATTAATCTCCAGCCGCGAAAACATTTCCATTCGCCTCAATTATTGTTTGCCTTCGAATCGCATGCACTACGACGACGGGCGATATAAGCCGACTGTTCGTCGTACAGTATCCGGCCGTGCTAGTCGCGTACGCGGACGTCAGCAAATAAAGCTTACAAATTGGCGACACCGCCCCCTTTGGCGTTGGCTATTACGGCTAACCAATGAATAGCTAAAGCGATCAAAGGAGAAACTCGTTCAAACCGCGAGGTCGTCGTTGTCAACGTCGATCATCTTCAATTTGCGATTGAGGTTGACTGCCGGTTGGCTGACTCGTCAAGAGGTGGATTCAACCGCTGTCGCCCTATTACTGTAATTTGCACTTTAGGAATTATTTATTAACAGGCATAGGTAAATAACTTGCTGGGTTTAGTTGGTGCTGAATTGTTGTTATTAGAGTTCCAAGAAGAATAAAAATTAAACCGGTTGTCCCTCCCTTCATAAATTTACACTGGAAATTATCTATTATACGCGTTTGATTTGAGATTTTTGGAGAATAATAGGGCCCTGCTCTTTGCAGAGCAAACCCAGGTAATGGGTGAAAAACTCGAGCGGAAAAATGATGAGTGAATAACGTCCTGTGAAGTGGTCCATGGGGGCAATCTGTGAGGGCGATAGGTCTTCTCTGTATGCTCGAGAAGTCGGGGGTTTCTAGGTTTGCTCTCCTCTGCCTCTTGGCTCACCAATATCTACTTCTGGGGACCTACGACCTGTCTTTGTCCAAGGAAAGGTGATCACAACTGTTGAAGGCAGTCTTTCCTTTGCTCTCGTCCTTCTACTTGATGCTGCGGCAATCCGGCGGGGCGGTGTCAAAAGGTCTGAAGTGAACTCACCCGTGGCTGCACTTCCTACCAGTAGAGCTGGTTGTCTTCTACGTGAACCGCCACCCGTCTTAGAAGGAAGAGTAGCTGTGTGCAGGCTCACTGCACTTCTCCTAACACTGCCTCTCAGATTACTACGACATGAGCGCATCTGCCGTAGTGTCCGATGAAAGCGTCCGATTGCGT